ACTCTGCTTGCCTCGGAATCTCACTAGTGGAGTAGTAAACGATAAAAAATTAGGCTATGAGGAAAATAATTGTTTCCTCGACTGTAAGGAGGGTCATAGGAAATAAAATAGTTTGTTTGTGGCAAAAACGTGGGCGACGGTGGGCTACTGCGCGCTACGTGGCTGAAGTTGCGCGCGTGAGCGACCAGTGGTGGCCGAAGGTCGGATATCTGGCCAATGGTATGTGCCGGGTAGCGCGGTGTGATCCCTCATGGCCACGGGTGTGGGGGAGGGCCAAGCGCCAAGAGTGAAAGATTAAGAAACATTTTTCTCGAAATACTTGTCATTTGATGAGTAGTCTTTTGCGATCGAACCTATGATGGACGGAAGAGCATATTTATAGCGTCGAAATATGACTTGAGGCATCAACTAAGAATTTACTAGCTCGACAATTTGGCTAAGTGAATACTGTATTGGGAAGGTGGGCGAAGAGTAGCCACATGGTCTCTTGTGCGAAGAGAGAAGCGTATGGGGAGGCCTAGTTTGAATGGTGTCTATCTGTGGCATGATCGAAGGCAACAAATGACAGAAACTTCACGATTAGCGCATGGAGATAGATGAGGCTGATTGATAATTATCGCAAATCATAAAATGGATCGATAGCTATCACGCGATGTAAGGCTGTGAAATGAGATGTGTAGGATACATGAATAATGCATTGAACATCTTTTATGCTTTTGTTGTGTGAAGGGTGGGAACGGAAAGCGTCTACTATTAAGAAAGTATATATGCCATGAGAAATATTGAGCTGCCGGGAGTGGTAGACTGAAGGGACACCGACGACCGACTGCGAGATAAGTGGGTTGATACAGCTTTTGCGTAGTTCTAATGACAAGAGTACAATGACAAGAAAATCAGCCGAGCGTTCAGCGAGAGTACCCGACCAGCGTTACTGGTGATAAATTCACAATAAATAAAGACCTTTTATATCCTCACATTTGTTTTACAAAGACAATAAGCTATTTTATTTGCGAGAGTTAATAAAAAGTCGAACAGAAATGATTTTACCGTTTCATCGTACGTGAAGTTGCTAGATTGATTCGCCCCATTAATAGCACACGCAGACAGTATATCTGTCTTCCACAGTCGAGGGTGAAGTGAGTCGGCACGACGAACGCTACTTGTATATTAATACAAAGAGGTATATCACTGAATACAGTTCTTTTCGCTATTCTTAACTCATACAGAATCACCTTGGGAAATGAAAACTCACTAAGTCGGCACGCCACTCATCATCGTAACAGATTCAATAAACTCTGATGAATGTTTAAATCTTTTCCAATTTGTTTTGAATTCGATGCAGCACATTTTCCTACCTGATGAAAGACTCTTAAATAAGGTCGAAATCTAGATCGTAGGGATTCTACTATATGATGCTCACCCTCACCCTCTCCCTCATCTTCACGACCAATTTGGAGCGCTAGTGTACATCATCTTTGCTATTAAAACTGACGCGAAGAGTTGACAATGAGCAGAGAGCGTCAAAGAAGAGTGATAAAGTAGGAAGGCAACTGGTCATAACGACACGTCTTTATACAAATAACTTTCGACCCAAATATATCGTGTAAAAAGTAACATAAGCGTCATAAATATATTTCGAAATTCTTCTTTGATCTTGCTGCGCTTCGAAGTTTCGAGTGACCTTTTTCAGACAATTTACAATCATCCATGTAGTTTTTTTAGCGACTGATTGTGCTGGATCATCTCTATGACGGCATTGATGCATGCATCAGTCAACAACTTGCTATCCGAGAGAGACAACACTTGAAGTGTCTTGTTACGATTTGCGATTACTCTGGTTAATGTCTCAACTGTCTGATCATTGATCTGATTTCTGCACAGTGATAGATGTGTCAAGATTGTGTTTGTCTTGAGCATCTGCGTAAGAGAAACTACACCGTTGATCGTAATACCGTTTCCTGACAAATCCAATTTTTTCAGAACGTTCCTGTTGATTGCCAACGACTTAGCGAGTGCTTGTGTGCCGTTGTCAGACAAATTATTATTCCAAAGAGACAATTGCGTTAATGTACCATTGTGACGTAATGCATCCGCTAACATCGATCCCCCAGTTGGTGTTACCTGGTTTGTCCTAATCGTAGTTCTCTGCACTTCTGGTCGATAATAGGCTTCGAAATTACGATTGTCATATCATCATCAACCAGTTGGCGCTCAGTCAAGTCGACCTCGCTCTGGCTTTTGAATTGTGCAATGAGTTCTTCGAGCTTTGGGTTCTGATATTCGCTCGACACTAACAGAAAACAAAAGTATTCATTTACGCCTTCTCTTACATCCACTTTCAATGCAACATAATTGAAACTCATATGTTGTGGAAGACATGTGTAAAACAACTCTTCTTACCTTCTTGCTGCTGCTGTTCAGAGAACAATTGTGATCCAGACGGAGAATGTTCAATATAGGTTAATAACATGTATGCACAAAGAATGACAAACATAATTCCCACAATGTAACGAAGCAGTGAAGAGGAATTCGTGAGAAGCAGAAGACTGAATGCGATGGCTGCTAGGACTGCGTAGAGGCCATTAGTTAGCAAGAATGTTGAGTGTTCGATTTGATGAGTGACTCGGCGAAGACTTTCAACGGACTCGTTAGACACGTTCATCATTACAGCAGATGCGTCATGTCGAAGACTAATAACCGTTTGATCAACTGTTGTCAACATCGTACTGACTCTTTCTGGTATTCCAATAGTATTTTTAATCGGACGTATCGCTCCACCCATTTCGTGGCGATCCTTAGTAACTAGAAAGGATATACGCACAATTCTTTTCGCTGTGAGCGGAGTAAACTAGTGATGATCAACCGTCGATCTTGGTAACGCAAAATTGATCTCACTTCACAGACAAAAACAAGAAAAAAAACAGTTCGATGTAAAAACTATGTTGGTAAAATTCTTTTGGCTCGCTTTTTCTTTTTAACGAACAGAAAAAAACCTTTGTTATTAGTAATGTTTTGGCCACTATATGACAAGAGAAGGAAAGTGGCACGTGGCGCGTCATGGAAACTGAACAGCAATCCTGTCACTCATCGGCCTTTACCTTGAAAGAACTACAAATTGTTTGTAGGAGAAAAAGCTGACAATGGTGAGTCAACCACACAAAAATATAAGCGAAGGAAAAAATGATCGATTGATTCAGATGAATATCACACATTTCATAGCACTAGATAACATTCGACGGAATTCTTTGGGATGTATTTTTGGGTAAAGGTGAAGTTTGATGCTAATCTGTTCTTTTGTCTACATCGACTACATTCACATTTTCAATAAAATGCGTAAGAGTCAAATTCAACACGTTTCTCGTTTCCTTTCGACTCGCAGGAAAAAGGAATAAAAGTTGAACACTTATGTACAAAATTGTACGCGTTTTTAACGTATTTGGACGAGACCGCACGTGAACGGTGTTCTCTTAGGTAAAAATATGTATTTGGGTAGTGAGAAAAACCTCGTCTATTGAAGATAACTATGCCTTTTCGATATCCCTATACTTTGAACTACGAGGAACAGGAAAACTCTGCTTGATTATGTATCCCGATACAATCAATCGCAAAATTGTTCTAGGTCAAAATGACGATGAAAATTTAGGTAATGTATCTATAGTCAGGAAAAGTTGTTCTCGGGCCATTTAATTTCGTTGACGCGTTGTTGAATATTCGAGAACAGTTAACAGTAGTTTTCGAAATAATGAGAAGATTGATTTAAAAAGTTATAAGGTTATATATTCGAAAAAAAAGCTAACAATTGTTGGTTTAATAGTATAATGCAAATGATTTTATCATCCAGACAAATCGTCGAAGCAATCATACGCATGGGTCCTGTCAATGCCGATGTAGAACCTTGGGTTGTTATGGTTGTTGCTAATATTCTACATTCATTAATGAACAAGCACAAGAGTCGCAACAAAATTGGGAAAACAATTGTAGATCAGAAATTTATTTCAGAACAACTTCTACATCTCGTGTCGGCTGGTGTCAACATCAGGATAGGAAAATACAATTGTATGGTCGATTTCTTTTTAGCTGCTATAATACCATCCCTTGGATTCTCTGGAATTGATTTCCAATCAAATATTAATATTTCGTTGCAATGTCGTACCTGCAATAAAAAGTCTATTATCAGCACAGAAATATGGGACTATATCTTAGTAACCACATCAACAGTTCACGATATTCTTGCCAACATATTAACTGAAGTATTTGCGTCAGCACCTCACAATACAGAATGCCCGCAATGTACTCATAATGATAGTCAACCAGTTTCATTAGAAATTGCAAAATTTCCGAAACATGTTTTTGTTCGTTTCCATGCAACAACAACTCAACATTCCGAACATATTGTTTGTACGCGATCCTACTGTCGCTACACTTTACAATCATTCGTTGTTTTCACTGGTCGTGATGGTGAAGGGCATTACTACACCTTAGCTAATCGAAAAAATGAATGGTATAAACTAGATGATGACAAAATTACAATTCTTCCGCAGCGTACAATTTTCGACCAGCAGAGTGATCGCCCACCAGCTGTATTAGCCCATTATACTCGACCGTCCAACAAAGATGTATTCTCTATCGCACTCTGGAATGTTTTCACCAATTTCACCCGATGCAGCATGACACTTCCACCAAATCTATCATTGAACGATGCTGCTGATTATTTCGCAAAGCATGATTCACTTAACAATAATCCAATGAATTTTGCCATTCTCAAACAGTTCAACTGCTCTCATTGCTCACCACCAGATAGTAGTGTCAAGCTGGCGCCACGAAGCACTAATTTGAATTTTTCATCAATAGTGATGTATAGATGATTGAATTTCGTACCAGAAAGTTGCATTTTACTTATATATATGTATATACTCACTTAATAATGGTAATCTCTTTTATTTGTTTTTGTAAATTTAGAAACTTTAACAGTTGATTGATTGCATGTTGTATGGGAAATGAAGAGAAATGGTACCCACATTAAAAATATTCTGAGCGACTTTGCAGTAAAGGAAATTAGGTGCTCATCATGTAGTCGTGTTGGATATTCAAATTCAGTTTTGTACGATACACTGAGGTTTTTAATCTTGAAAACTCGAGGAAATGTCGACGAATGCATTAATTTGGTTCACCATACAAATAGACTGATGATCAAGCCGACCCACCAAACAATTCGAATTACTGAAGGAAGTGACTGCCGAGAATACCGGTTTGTCATGTAGATGGATGGTATTTGTTTATGAAACCGTAGATATCGTATTTCCACCGTTTCCTATGCAAAAAACTACTCAACATCAAACTGATCTACCTCCTAGTGTAGGGCCGGAAGATTATATAGACGAATTTGTCAATGATCTTCTACCTATTTATGAAAAAGGATTTCTTGTTGGATCTATTCATATCAAATTAGACGATATGACTGTTTTGTTAAGCCCGAATGGAGACATTAACGATCTGATAATTGATGCACATCTATTCATCACAGCATCCAGTACTGCTTCGAATAATAAGGTTTTAGCCGTACCGAGCTATCTAATCAGACAAATCATTTTGAAAAAACTTAGGACTATACCAATAAGTTGGCTAAATTTTGACATATTGCTCTGTCCCATTAATCAGAATAATCACTGGTACATTATAATAATAGATCGAAAAAAGAATCTGATTCTAGAATTGGATTCTTCAGTCAAACATGATATGCCACGCTTAACAAATATGAAACGTATATTACACATATTACATCTACAACACTTTCTAAAGACACACAAAGGAATTGATTTTGAAAACAACTGGAAATTGATTACGTCTGAAAATGAACCTACAATGCAACAAACCGACAGTCATTCATGTGGCATTCACCTGCTATTACAAGCCGAAGCTTACGTGAAAAATTTCAAATTCCTTCAAATGCAAGGCGACTAACTTCAACAATACCGATATCGGATTGCAGAAGCACTATTACGCAAAGGGGAGCCTAACAAGAACAGCTCATCATCGGGATCCGTGAGTACCTTCATCTTCCGATCACACGTCATCCATCATGTCTTCTCTCTATAGCTACTTGTTATATAATGACGTCATATGTGATCGTCCTTACATGACGTCACTACATATACATATCTTCTTTCGTTCCGATCGTACATATTTATGACGTCATAAAATCATACGTTCATCCATGAGATCAGATGTTATCACATGATGTCATCTGTTTTATCCATGATATATGTGTCATGTTCTTTTTCCCTTTGCATCTTCTATATAAACCTGATCTTTTCATAATAAAAGTGGGATCGAATGTAAGCAAACAAATCTTCATAAAGTCATTACTCTACCGCTGAACACTAAGTAGATATTGCCTTATATCATACTGGAAGGAACACCAGACTCACACAGAAGCAAGAATTTCCGCAAAAGCACACGGCAAGAACATATTTAGTCCGATTTCTTATTCTATCTACTCATGCCGTTTTTTCCATAATAAAAAGACAGTTTAAATTATTACAATCTACGCCAACCTATTTCCCCACATCGGACCAAGCTCTCATTTCAAACCAACAAGAAACAACAATCAACTGCGGCCTGAGCCACAAAATGCAATAACAGCAGACAATAGAAAAGAGCACTCAGCTTTCCAGAACGTTTTCCCGCTGATGAGAACAGATGCATTTCAATCAGAATTCGATTCTGCATCGATTGAAACAGCTTCAAACCACCGGAAAACGTTTCATGGGAGAAAACGCGATGGATATTGGGTTCAACATGGGTTGGTCCACGTGATCAAAGAGAGAACGCCGCTCTCCAGAACGTTTTCTGGTCCTTCGGAACAGCTGCGTTTAATTCAGAATTTTACTGTGGTCTCCAACACATTTGATTTTTTTTTGGCAACTGGATTTTACATAATATTTGGTCACAGTGCGATGGCTGCATGGTACTAGTTTTGATTCGTGAAGGAAGCTTGTTTGGTTGCTACGAAATCCATAGTCCAATCTATGACCACCATTGTGGTGTTTTTGGTATCGGTGTGATTTGATTGGTGTATTGTGGAGCCAATCGGTTTGAGTCTTAAATGGTGCCAGCGTTAAATGGTGCTAACTTCACACTGATTATGGAATTCCACTTTCAATTTTATTTTCACATTATATTCGTATAATCATATTTATTCATCAATTACCAAATAATCAAGCGATTCTTGTTAAAATTCAACAAAAACGAGATTTAATTGCCATTCGAAGAATATTTCTTCATGTGACTTTACTTATTCTTCTTGTTTTACCATGATTAGTTTTACCATTAATGAAATTTCAAATGGAATTGATTATCCGTTAACTAATCGTATTTTATGGTTAGGTAATGAAATATCTATTGTAATATTAACAATAGAAATGGTATTAATAACACCACAATTAAAAAACCTGTTTCTAAAACGCGAACCAAGAAAAAATCGTGTTACTATATTTGTTCAAACAATTCAACAATGATTCGATATTCATTAAATTTTAAAATATCTAAAAGCATTTGAAGATGAAGATATAAATCAGTGAACGGGCGTGTCCTTATTTTCTTCTTTTATCTTTTTGAGAATAAATATATTTGTAAAAATAAAATTCAAGAAAGTTGATCGTCGTTAAATTTTAATGGTTCAAATTCTATGTATGAAGATGAAGGTAAATGGATGAACGAGTGAACTAATGTTTTATTGTATAAAACTGAGCAGTATAAATACCACCGAGAACAAAGACGAACAGATGATGAAGTGTACAAAAACGAACAGATGATGACATGAAGATGAACAGTGAGCCGGACGCGAAGGATAAAGGTATAGGTGATGAAACTGGTGAACAGAGTGAGGATGATGAAATGTAGAATGTATGTCATCATATGTTCACAGAACAAATAACAGCTATAAACATATGTGACATATATGAAGAACAGATAAAAAGAACGAGAGGATGACGTATATCATCCTCTAACAATAGTTCATTCGCTGTATGATGGACGATTCGAATAGTAAGAATAAGACATTCATTTTTATACCTCTAAATGCCTATTGCTATTCACATTGATTGACATATTCCACTTCTTCTATCAAATTTTATTAAGGACGCCATTTTCATATTTCTGTAATCTTTAATGGTGTTTTTGATCGTTTAATTTTGTGATTGGTTAGTTTCTGACTAATGAAAATTTTCTTTTTTATTGTTAATTTCACATCAATAAACGCCAACGTCAGTGTTACATCATACTGATTAATCCTTTCGATCCCGATATTTTCTTACGTTCTGTATAAACACGAAAAATAGAAAAAAATATCTCTCTCGTGNTTGACTCCGATTATGGGATATCAACCATGGGCCTTTGAGTTTTCGTTCATGAATCTATATTTGCAGAGTCACGATGGATCTACAATTGCCTCTGAAGCAATAGAAGATCTTTCTTATACGTTAATCACTTAATAAAGTGGAAATTAACGGTTAACGGGTTACTGTTTACGTTAATTTCAAATTAAGGGAAATGGTCCACCCCTAATTAAAATTGTATTTAGAAATTCAAATTTTTCGCACATAGACTTCAAGTTTATCGTTTAATGGCTCAACACAATTTGTCATAGATGACCTGTCAGATTATATTTGATCCCAAGGAGATATATTAATTCCTTTTTCTGTTCATACGCCTACGGGGAGAAGTTTTTTTCATCTTTACTTTTATAAGATTACAATTTCTCTGAAAGTTTGTATCAAGTAAAGATATAATGTGATAGTTTTATTGCAGTGTATTCTGTACATCATATTGTAAGAAAAGTTTCATATAAAACATGATAATATATAGACACGGAGAGAGAGAAAAGGATATTCCTAGAGATTGTAAATTATTTGTTAAATCTTTAAGCTAAATGAGCTATTGAACGTGAGATGAAAATCAAAGAAATGATATTTTAGAATTATCAATAAACTCTTTATCTATAGAAATTCATCAAAACTAACCATGGATTCTGATCGAGCTTCTTATCCATGACTACGTTTTACTGTTAAATTCTTGTTAAAATTTTCTATAAGAAGATGAACAAATTATAGATATATTTTAATAGAAGATTCTTTTCGTTCAGGTTTTTCAATTTAAAGTAGAAGAATACAAGGGAAAATTTAGATCTTCTAAAACAAGAAACGCGGCCTAGTAGCCGCTAAACCCTCTACTGAAAGGATAGTATTAGAGCGCTAATATTCGTCCAAAGAGAGAAAAACGTTATTTCAGTTGAACGATCTGATCATTTGATAATTTGTCAGAATGTTTTATGCAGACCAATTTCGCTTCCTGAAATCTTCTGAAATTAACGCCTAGTCGTTCCCATACATACTCATTTTACTATCTTAACTTCATTCGGACGAAGACGTGTTCCAAAAATGACATAATTTCGGAAAATCGATTCGTATTCGAAAACTTGTAAATTTTACATGTGTATATGATTCTCTGCAAACAGGTTTCATTCTTCTCTTCACCACGAAGAACCTTAAATAGCTACCAGCTATGTTCGTGCACAGTAACGATTAAGTTCTGTCCAAGAAATCTTGAAGCTATGCGAAAATCGCAAAATTTACTCTTTAAAATATTATTCTCCAAGTCAACCTCTGGTCGCTCGTCGGCTACTCGCGGCTAGCCGTTACATGTACATATTTACTCTTCCATCTAGTCTAGAACCGTTTTTGAAACTAATTCATTCATTTTCTTCTATTTCTTCTTAAAAAGTCATCATCTTTGTCCTACTGTGACTCTTCAAGACAATACTTGACAAGCGAAACACTATTTGGAGTAACCGACATCAGATGACATTCGTATAGTATAGCTGTTTATATAAGTGTGTAATCTTATTAATATGCTGATGACTATGGAGATCCTCGATCTCGAGTACTGGTTGGTCCAACTTTCTTCGTAAACAGCATACATTGTTATTCTATCAATGTAAACTATGTGAACGGACGAATTTTAACTCAAATTCTATGTGTATCCTCCTTTCAGTAGAACGAATAGATAATGTATAGTATGCTGTATTTTTCTCTGTAACAGCGGCGTCCTAGTGTCCCAAAAGATAGTATATGTTTGTGGGCTAGTTAAGGACTCTAGAAAGCTGCTTCTATAGGGAAAAGTATAAAATACTATACAGAAATTTGTTTCAAAATTAACGTGGCATTGGGTTTTTTCTTTGCCTGAAGCTCCCTCCCAAACGATGATTTATGAAGTTTTGAGCTTCGACCCTGGCACAAACATACAGGCACACAAACTTTTTTTTTCATATGACTGTCCTTTCAGTCGAGGAAACTTGGAGATCCTGATAGATACTCATGGATTCTCATCAATCGTAAGACGTCAGAAAAGATGAACCCACATGAATCCTAGGATCTTTGAATCAATGAGGATGCAAGATACGCTTTTACCCAGGGGAAATTGATACTCGAAAAAAAATATAAATTTGCCCTTAACCAATGATTAAAGATACTTGAATTGATACAGTTCGAATAAAATCACTGTTAGAGTCCGCTATTCTGATGGGAGCACTGGAGTACTACTCTAGTAAAATTCACTTTGGTTGATGCTCCAGAACATACTCCACGTCGACTTCAAACACATTAAGTTTTCTGTGAATCCTTTCGACTTTACTACATGCCTTCAAGGGTATTACGGCTTGTATTACAAATCCGAAGTTGGCTGTTTTTCCTTTTGAAAAAATACGTGCGTAATCAGTTTCATTATCAATTACTTTTTATATTATATCTTTTAGAGTAGTTCAAAATTTAGAAAAGTATTTTTACATATTTTTCATTTTAATTTTAGTAAAATAGTTTATTCAAATGTCGTCTCTTTCATCAACTCTTTCATCAATTCAACAAAATCTAATACGTTATGGATTTCCAATATCCTTAGTATTAGGTAATCTTGGTAATATATTTTCTATAACTATTTTTTGTCACAAACGTCATCGACAAAATCCATGCTCATTATATTTAATGTCAGCTGCCATATTTAGTTTAATTGGTATCAACTGGGGAATTGGCAGCAATATGTATTCATTATATTATCCACCAGATCCATTTACAAAATCGCTTTTTCTTTGTCGTTTGCGTGGTTATTTATTACAGTCATCATCACTTATTTATAAAATAATGATTTTATTTGCATCAATTGATCGTTTTGCATTATCATCAAGTAATGTTAAAATACGTTCATTTAGTAACAAACAATTATCAATAAAAATCATTATTGGAATTATTTTATTTGGTATGTTAATATCAATACATTTAGCAATTTATGAAACAATTGAAAATAATCGATGTTTCTTTTTTGGTACATATGGATTCTTTTTTAGTATTTATCAAATCTGTATTTTTGGATTTATTTTGCCTATTTCACAAATTGGTTTTTCTTTTCTCATTATAAAAAATTTAAAAACAATTCGTATGCGTGTTCAACCCGGTTTAATAGTTGAAAATGAGCCACAAAATGTTTTGTCAAAGCGTGACATGACATTGATTAAACTCGTTTTATTTGAAATTATAATTGGTATTATGCTTACAACATTATATCCAATACAATCCCTTTATTCTATATTAACAAATGATATTCTTAATAAAAGTCAAGATCGTATTGCAATTGAATCATTTTTAAATTTTATAGGACTTATTGTTTTATTTTATTTAAATTATTGCATTACTTTTTATTTATATATTTTTATTTCGAAACCTTTTCGACAAGAAGTTAAACAGTTTTTATTTAAAATTATCAAAAAGGAACAAACAACTAGTATTGCTATGACAATCGTTCAACAACGAAGATTAAATCACAATTAATCATTAATATTTTATGTTGTAAGAAATTTTATGTATCCTGCTCTATCATCATAATGTCACATATTGTATTTGCTTCTCGTTATTATCTTTCGTTTCGTGAGTGAATTTGAATAATGTCTTCGATCATTTTGTAGCTATCAATTTTATTATAATAATTATATCTAATCTTGATCAAATAAAATGCGACAATGTGTCATTTAAAAGATTAAACTTTGAATAATCACCTTTTGTACTTTGATGTGTAGATAGGAAATGAAATATCAGTCTTTCATTTGCACTTATAGCGCGAACAAATCCGATAATTTGCTGCTACAAAGGACGAGGGCTGTTAAGACCGCAATTTTGTCCATTCTTAATTTTTTGAATTTGTCTATATAAGTTAGTGCAGAATTGAATGCTGAATCTTTTAGTAGCAATTTCAAACTATTTTGAAGGTATCTAGAACCATCTACCTCACCAAATATCATGTAATATTATCACATACTATTGTTCAGCGGTATTTCGCCAATATCTCGGCATTAGAACGTCATAGTGATCTGCGGTTTGTTTCATTAGAAAGAGCATGAAATTCTGCATCGATCTCTGTATGGAAAACTCTAAAACAACTATGCTTTTAGAATTTTTTGAAGGTCGATTTTTCAATGGTATCATACAATACTGCCTTTCATATAGTTTCGGCACCTATAAAGATTTATTAGAAAGCGTTGCAGTTCATTCGTCTATACCAGTCGATAGCTCTCGACGAGGGCTATCATCTGATATAGTTGGTATCGTTCAAATTTTCCGGCCAATTTTTTTAGAGAAGATATACTATATAATCATATACGAATGTAAAACATCAATTTTCGCGAACATCAACGATCTCTTTTTTCCTGAGCTCACCGATACAAACGCACTTTAAAATTGGTATTTTTTCATATGCACTGTCATTATCTTAGGTTAATTTTCCAACAACTACGTAAAAATTCTCAATAAGTGTTGAATTTTATCAAACCATATTGCAAACTTATACCATGGGTTGTTGTAAAACATGCTGTAAGGTTTTTGGTACAACCGTTGGTGTCGTATTTCTTATATTATTATATGCTGTTTTCTTTGCGGCAATTATCATTGGTCCAACTCGAATAAATTCATGCCCAGCTGAACCTCGATTAGTTACCTGGTTAATTGCCTTTGGCAGCCTAGGTATTGCGTTTGGTATTTGTATAATTATTCAAAAGTTAAGTATCTCATTAGTTATACTGAATAGATCGGTTTCAATCCAATTTCATACGAAATTAAATCATTATTAGTTTTCTTATTTTTAATAAGCTAATTAGTACACGATATAACAAGAGTGAACACAGATGCCTGAGGTGCGACAGAAACAATCATCTTATTGCATAGAGGATATCTGAGGTTTCGAACGTTTAGAAGACTAAAGTGCAATCACGAATGTCTTTACTTTTCTTTCTAGTCAGTCTACAAGCGTTGTTGTCCCGAAACATACAGTAAAAACCTTAACAGATCAATAATTGTATTCTTTTTTGCTGTTATTATCTGCTGGAGCATTTTGGTACAGTTCAATAAAACTTATAATTTCCTTTGATTCTTAGTTTCATTCTTTTGCCACTTAATAGGGAATGGCATGGTATGGTTCTTCATTTCATTCAGATAAAACTGAGTAAGTATCATTGATTTAAGTTTATATAAGCACAAAAGCATGCTGCATTTTCTTCGAACTTAGAGTAGATAGACTTTATATTATCTTAAGTGCTGATAAAGAGTACAGATGCATATCTTTATCATCCATATCCACGATCAATACAGACCTCATCAGTCTATTATTATCGTGAGAAAATTGGACACGTTCTTTCTATTTTTATAATGATTCCAATATCTTCTTTTGAAATATTCTATTTCTTAGATGTGATGAACTTGTACGAAAGTTCGTGGAAATTGCTGCAGCAACAGTCCTGTCTGCTCTTGGTTTACTAATCTTATCAGGCTGTGCGTTCTGGGGCTATGATTCATGTTGTAATTCAAAAAAAAAGCTCCGATGAATCGAAGGAATATAGAGTTAGAGAGAGATGGATAAAAGTATGGGAGATATACTATTTCGTTTCGGTTCAATCAAAAATTGAATTGTTCTTCTGGCATCAAATAGGATAGAAAAAGTAACAATATGAAGCATATTTACTACTACTGATTGACTGATTCCTAAATCAATAATAAACTTAATAAGTTCAAGCGTTTTACTTGAAATGTATATTGATCAAATTGAGAATGAAGAATGATACATATATATTGCCTTTTGCTTACATTTTTATTCACCTACAATTTGTATTACCACACAACTATACATGAGACCACCTAATGACGACTGCTGTTATATCTATACCTAGTCGCAATCGGAGAGTACAATGTTTTCTTTTTTAACCACTGCGTCTCAACGTTAAACAACAACTTGATATAATAGAAACTGCAAAAGTGGCCAATAATAACTTCGAGGCGTCATCATTATTTTATCAAGAGACAATCTTATAGTTGTGTTGATATTCTCTATATACGAAATTATTTCTTAGGCAAGCAGCTTTTTCCTTAATATTCAAAATATTTTACTCAGTCAGACACATCCAAGTTTCCTTCTATCTTTGAATATCTACATGTAAGAAAGCGCATTCATCACTGATTCTGTACGTGTCTTGGGACAGAATCAGACAAGAAACATTCGATCATGATGCTAACTTCACTTTCTTGCTGTAATTATCAACTGTAAACGGAAGAAAAAGAGACATCAAGCTATATTTATTCTAATATGCGATGCGAATAAAATAACAAGCTCTTATTATGACTCCCTTATTAATATAGATGAATGTCTTACATTTGATCTACATGAGGTTTTTCTTCCGATGTCGAGAAGCGTGTAATGATGCATTTCTTTAAATATGAGTGACTTATTCAACACACAGAACGAACATCTATCTTCACCTTTAAAACCGCCGATGATGATAATTAAATCATGGTTTATTCCTTTCGATATCTTCATGATCACATGTACCATTATAGGGACTATCGTTTCTCTCATTTTTCTATGTATTATCATCGTCGTTAAAGCATGCCATACGGTTCCAATGATGCTGACTGCCAATACATGTATAGCGGCGTTCGTTTTCGGACTGAATGTATTTTTTATGCGTATATTTACATTGTCAAATGATTTAAAACAAATAGCATATCAAGATTCACTGTGTATCATGCGTGGTTATATTGGGTACACAACATGTGCTGCATTAAATTATTCATTTCTGTTACAAGCCATCTATAGATATATGACAGTTATGTATCCCATGCGCCTCTTCTGGCAATCAACAAGATTTCAGATTTTACTTATTCTTGCAACATGGATATTCAGTTTCATCTATCCGTTTGAGTTTTTATTCAATAATGGAATTATCTATAATGTTGACAATCAAATATGCCAACTGCCACTTCGACGTTCATTTTCCATAATTTATATGTCATCTTGTGTTTATGCAATTCCTATCCTACTAGTTATTACTACTTACATCAAGCTTATTCGATACGTTCACCAGATGAGTAAACATGTCACGGCTATAGTTGTTTATACTCGTGCTCAAAAAGAACTAAAAATGGTTCGACGTATAGTGATACTCGTGATGATTTTGACATTCATCTGTTTGCCCTATGAAATATTTGTGCTGATGGGAATGTTCACTAGTCCACCGCAGTACCATTTTCGCATAGCATATATATTTGTTGACTCATCATATACATTGGTGATAATGATTTTATTTCAATTTACTGAACCAGTTAGATCCTATGCAATGAAGAAGATTGAACGATGCACAGGCTTAGCCGTTATAGATCAAGTGGCATAGACGGATTGAATTATTTCGTAATCATAATGTTGTCTTGCGTGAATCGCTAATAATGATATTACGTGTTCGCCGTTGAAGATACTTCTCATCTATTATGCATAATAAATCATACAATCCTGCTAAAGAACTCATCTTGAAGTATTAGTTTTCTCGATATCAATATTCTTTAAAAAAAAAGAACTAGATCAACTGTGTCGATGAAAGATGCACCGCTCTCAGCATATCAATAACCAGTTGAATGTTCTACAATCATACAAAACTTCTTAGACTATCAATTTTGAGTATTACGATGGATGACAAGGCACTTTTTTCTGAGCAAGTGTAAATATGATATTTGCATGCTTCAATCATCATCTCTCTACCGTAATGTATTGCGCTCTATGTAAAAAGGTTGTACTTATCATAACAATAACCTTGTGGAATGAGAAATTGATATGCAATTTCAAGCAAGCTGATACCTAATTAGTCCTCGTTGAAAGAAACCAGAAAGATGTATTAGTTCATTCATATGCGAATAAGAATGCCTTACCTGATGGATGACCTCGATATTTTATCTCCGTGATCAGTTTGCACCTAGTTTTTAATGCTCAACAAGTGGTCTGGTAGATTGCGATATATCATACTGGTCCAGATGTATTTTCTTCATCGACGCACAGTACGAATTTGTTAGAGTGAAGGCATCCATGTATACAAGAAATTTCAATACGATTTCATTTTACCAACACTTACTACTTTTTCCTGTTATCAAATATCACTATTGTGGTCTATGACGTACCAAGAATAGTTTCTGATCGATTTTTCTTCTTCCTTAATTATTTTTATTCATATATATGAAGTGACATAAAATAGTTCTCACATAAAGAAGCAAGGATAAGACAAACAAAGCTGAAGAATACAACATGTTAAATGTAAAGTTTATGGAGGGTGGATAAAATGCTACGAATTTACTTGGCTAAAAACACTCCAACGCTTAGACTATCTCCATTACCGACGACTATGTCTAGGCCACAATCGTTATTAAAATCATCAATACCAATTGACCATGGGCCAGTACCGGCTTTAAACGTCACCTGTGTCGCAAAACTGTCACTGCAATTGCTAAGCAGAATGCCCAAAGTATTATTACCAAAATTAACAACAGCTATATCCATACGATTATCTCGATTAAAATCGGCAACAGCGACGTTACCGAATCCAAGCAGCATACTTACGGTATTACCACCTGTATTAGCGACTGCCATATCTGTTACTTGGTCACCATCAATGTCAGCACAAACAACTGAATAGGGAGATGAACCCGTGGAAAATGTTCTTTGTGATTGAAAAGATCCGTTTCCATATCCGAGGAGGACACTTACAGTGTTACTGTCTCGATTAGCAACAACCAGATCTAGCCGTTGATCACCATTAACGTCACAAGTAGCAACTGAATATGGGCATGTACCGGTTGCAAAAGTCGTTTGTGACCGAAAAGATCCATTTCCGTATCCAAGAAAAATACCTACATTACCAGCGTTCGCATTAGCAACAGTTACATCGAGGTGTGTATCATTGTTAAAGTCGCCAACAGCGATCGAATAGGANTAACCAGTTGAATGTTCTACAATCATACAAAACTTCTTAGACTATCAATTTTGAGTATTACGATGGATGACAAAGGTACTTTGTAAATATGATATTTGCATGCTTCAATCATCATCTCTCTACCGTAATGTATTGCGCTCTATGTAAAAAGACTGTAATTATCATAACAATAACCTTGTGGAATGAGAGATTGATATGCAATTTCAAGCGAGCTGATACCTAATTAGTCCTCGTTGAAAGAAACCAGAAAGATGTATTAGTTCATTCATATGTGAATAAGAATGCCTTATCTGATGAATGACCTCGATATTTTATCTCCGTGGTCATTTTGCACCTAGTTTCTGATGCTCACCAAGTGGTCTGGTAGATTGCGAAGTATCATACTAGTACAGATGTATTTTCTTCATTGACGTGCAGTACGAATTTGTTAGAGTGAAGGCATCCATGTATAAAAGAAATTTCAATACGATTTCATTTTACCAACAGTTACTACTTTTTTCTGTTATCAAATATCACTACTGTGGTCTATGACGTACCGAGAATAGTTTCTGATCGATTTTTCTTCTTCCTTAATTATTTTTATTCATATATATGAAATGACATAAAATAGTTTTCACATAAAGGAGCAAGGATAAGACAAACAAAGCTGAAGAATACAACATGTTAAATGTAAAGTTTATGGATGGTGGATAAAATGCTACAAATTTACTTGGCTAAAAATACTCCAACGCTTAGACTATTTCCATTACCGACGACGATATCTAGGCCACAATCGTTATTAAAATCATCAATACCAATTGACCATGGGCCAGTACCGGCTTTAAACGTCACTTGTGTCGCAAAACTGTCACTGCAATTGCTAAGTAGAATGCCCAAAGTATTATTACCAAAATTAACAACAGCTATATCCATACGATTATCTCGATTAAAATCGGCAACAGCGACATAGTATGGAGAAGTGCCAGTTGCAAACATCTTCTGTGTTGTGAAGTTTCCGTTACCGAATCCAAGAAGAATACTTACGGTATTACCATCTGTATTAGCGACTGCCATATCTGTTACTTGATCACCATCAATGTCAGCACAGACAACTGAACAGGGAGATGAACCCGTGGAAAATGTTCTTTGTGATTGAAAAGATCCGTTTCCATATCCAAGGAGGACACTTACAGTGTTACTGCCTCGATTAGCAACAACCAGATCTAGCCGTTGATCACCATTAACGTCGCAAGTAGCAACTGAATATGGGTTTGTACCGGTTGCAAAAGTCGTTTGTGACCGAAAAGATCCATTTCCGTATCCAAGAAAAATACCTACATCACCAGCGTTCGCATTAGCAACAGTTACATCGAGTTGTGTATCATTGTTAAAGTCGCCAACAGCGATCGAATAGGATATACTACCAGTTGCATACAACATCATCGTTCCCAACGCTCCGTTTCCACATCCAAGAAGAATTCCAAAATTCGTACCACGCCTGTCACTGACAACGACATCTAAGAACTGATCACCGTTGAACATACCAACGGCAATAGCATATGGCGAAGAGAGCGAACTAGCATTTGATGTGATTGCTGTTTGAAAAGATCCATTACCGTAGCCAAGAAAAATGCTGATGCTACCTCCGCAAGCATTGGCAGCAACAATATCTGTACGCTTATCATTGTTAAAATCGCCAAGAGTAATCATGTCTGGACAACTGCCAGTCGTATAGGTAACCATAGGTGCCAATGAAAAATTATAATTAACTAGAAATAATGATGTTACGTATAAACAACAGTATATAAGTCGAGATTCTATACTAACTTACTATCAGATTCCTCCGTGAGACTAAATTTTTGGATGCGATTGTTTCCTCGATCAGTAACGAAAATATTTCCCTTGCTATCAAAAGTTAAACTCCATGGTTTTAACAATTGATTTGGTGCCGAACCAGAAGCACCCGAACAACCTATTATACATCGAAAGCCGCTCGATCTTTGTCCGACGATACGATGATTATTAGAGTCAACAATATACAAATAATTATTTCCATCTAAAGCAACACTTGTAGGGCAATTGAGTGGTGTTGCTAACGAGGCGTGTACAGATATCGTTATCCCAGTTAATTTCTCTGGTGGGATTAACTGAATTCGATCGTTACCACAATCTGCAACATATAAACTCGCATCGGTATTAACAAATATTCCATATGGATTTCGAAGTGTTGTTGATGTTGAACCTGCCGTGCCTGTTCCAGCAACAATGGTCAAATGTTCATAATTTTTCGATAGAGATTTTGCAATGACTTGATGAAGTTCAGTGATTGAACAGTAAAGTGTATTGCTCATGTCAATAAATATATCTAAGCATTGATGACAAATATTCATTCTGGATATCGGAATTATTGTTGAATTTGTTGTTATTTTACCAACTACCCCCCTTCCCCCGGTCTCAATTGAATGAAATGTATCAACATAAATCTCCCCGGTCATTGCGACAAAGAAACTGGAAGCATTGCAGAAATTACCCGATATCGCTGTTGCCAGCGTTCGATTATCTTCACTTTGAACAAGAATTTCTCCATTATGTTGATTAGGAATAAAAATGGTGTTTTTCCTATCGATAAATATCTCATTGAAATATGTTCCAATAATAGTGTTGTTATCAGCAATAGTTGTAGCATTTGGGTACCATGAATGTGAACAAAACTTTGGCTGATTATAAGAGACGGCTGAAAAAAGAAAGAACATTAAGTGCGAGGATGCGCATTTAGTTACCTAATATTTGCTCGATAATGAACAAAAACAGGCACAACTGAAGTTTACCAGTCAGTTGCATTATGAACGATGAAGATCAAACAAAATACCTGAAGAAAATTTCTTTTCAAATTCTTCGTTAATCTATTTTTAAAATTTTCCTCATGCGCACAAATGTTGTGATTTTTATTAAAAAGAACTCAGCGTTTATTTGATTTACATGTTTTTTTTTCTAATGTACACATAAATGATTTTGATCATGTCTGGAAATAGAGTTATGCCGTTGGAAAAAATATGATTTTTTTGAAAAATTTCAAAAATCATTATGAAGGACGTCTATCGAGACTCAATAACGACATCTTTATCCTTATATATCACCGTGTGGAACAAGGCAAAATATTTAATTGAGCCTTTTATGTTTTGGATATCAAACACTTTATATTGTCAAAATTTATCCTTATCTTTACTATTTCTTCGTGCATAAAACAATTGTAACAAAACATACTAATGCACCGATAAATACATGTGTACATTGATAAACAAGCATCTGTGCTCCAGCCTACACATCTAATTGCAAACAGAAAGGTATATTAAGTATCTCTCGTTTCGAAAAATAGGAAGAATCTGTGCCATTAGCTTAATTCTTCTAGTGCTACGTCACCAAATTATGTCCAAGACATGGATTCAAGAAGTGGGTGTTCTACGATTGATTTATCTACATTGAAATATGCCAGCACGGTCAACATTATTATTCTATCAGTTGTTTTTCTCGTAGCGCTTACCTTTTTCATCGTGATACTTATTTTTGTCAAGAGATATGCAACAAGAGAGGGTGAATATATACATATCAGAAATGAAACTATTGTGCTTTACTTTTCTAGAAGTTGTAATCATCGTGCCAATCGTAAAACTGATACCAACAACAGGACATGTTTCAACCACTCTTAAATGAATGCCATCATCATCTATGGATATGGCCATGCTTTATTCCGCTTAGACTGCTGTTATCATATGCTGTGGCATTACTATCGACATGTTTATTTGCAATAATTAACAGATGTTTGTAAGTGAGAAATTCAAACTCGTATCTTTTGATCGTTGTATCGTCACATGATAAATAATATCCTTTTAAAAAAACTCGTTGTCGTCTTGTTTCTTATTCTATATAAACTGCGAATATTCAGAGCCAATTGAGTTTTTCTATTTAGTCGTTTTTATTTGCTAGAATCTAAACTATCGAAATAACACTTACAAGTAATCACGTTCTTTGTTTGTCATGCCATTTTTTGATTGAAATGCAACTCTTTCAACTATATATGGGCTCGATAACATATTTTATTTTCAGAAGAAAGTAAGAAAGAAAAACCTGTATACGAATTAGATCGATGCTATTTGATTTGCTTGTAAACTAAAGGATATTGCTCATCTACTTACAACTTCATGTTTTCACACTATTAACGGAAATGAGAAAAGAAAATGAACAAAAAGTATGAAATTTGTCATCGTATTCTGTGTTCATCAAACGCATAATTAACATTGGTTTTCTTTCAAATGCAGTTTATCTGTATGTCAAACTGGTATTTGATAATCGTCGGAATTACTTGTTACATACCGGGTATGTTTACAGCAACAACTTATTATTCATCTGCACTAACGACTAAGCATTCACAATTGACACCCATTACTGATGAAGGTCCGTATTATTATTATGAAGTTATTCAAATAATTCCTTCTATATCTAATACATATACATTTGAAAGTTTCGTCGGAAATCTTCGAGCGCAACGATAGTATAATGGCGATTCACCTATAAGTCTAGGCGAATTTCTCGATGACAAATCCAATCGGTTAATCGGATGGGCGGCACTACGACAATTACGTAGTAAACAAGGTTGATTCATTCTCTGTTCTTTAGAGACTTGTTCGCTTCGATCAGAAATGGCAAGTTTGAATGTAATTTGCAAAATTGAGTATGGCTATTTTAGCGAAGAGAAACCTTCGTTTCAATCGAATTGAATCGATGGAACAGCAATAGGTTATACTTCATCAATACAAAATGCATTCGTCTATAAATCTTCGGAACAGTTGAATACATATCCATATATTGGTGAATATGCTATGTATAGTAGTGGTGGATATGTGTACGAGTTTCGTGGTCCTCTATCGGATTTACAAAGTAATCTTAGCGAACTGCGTCAGTTGAATTGGATCAGTGAATGAACGCGAGCAGTGTTCATAGGTGGTTTCATTCCAAGCGTGCGGCTTGAGCCATTGAATGTCCAAGTTAAAACAATTCATGTCCATTTTGCTAAAGTTAATGTGATTCCGTTTGTAGATTTTTCGTCGTTATTTCAATTGATTATGGCAGTGATTTATTTCACATTAGTCATCTATTTTATGTTAAGCGAAATCCAATCGTTGATCCGTTTAAAGCATCGGTATTTTCATCAATTTTGGATTTACATTCAGTGGGTAATTATTATTTGTTCGTTCATCGGCATCGATCTCTACATATGGCGACATCGAGAAATTTCTCGCATTAGCAATCTCTTTGCAACAATTAAATGTCTTTATTTCTGTCGGCTCGATCGGCAATTTTGATTGTTTGGTGATACAATTCGCTATGCATATAAGGATCTGTTAACATTTATGATCATGTTCGATACGATGTTTTTGGCTTCGTTATTTTGTTTTATTTACTGTTTGTTTCGAAAATACGGACATGTTCGAGTTTGCTGCATACGACTCAAATGTTGTTCGAAATTATCTTGATGAAATTTGATGTCTCGGATATGATGACATTTATATGGAAAAAGGTCCTCCAGTGGACAGATTTTGCTTTCTTTTCGAAATTGTGTTTTGTTTTCAAAGATCGAGAACCGAATGTGCAAGCTCAACCGGTGTATACTACGACAACGGACCCTTTTCCAAAGAAGATAGATGAACTTGTCAACACACTTGAACGAGTATGATATTTTATTCGATGACCAAGAATTACGTCTCGTCTTGTTCTAGGTCTTTCATATCTAATGCTTTCGTTCAGTTGAACTCGGACTCTATAAAAAAAAATAATCAATTGTGTGCTAAATCTGAGTAAATAAAAAAACATCCTAATGAGATGTGACCTATGGTCAAGTCCGTCGACGCTTCTGCGATTCTGCTGAGTGGATCCTGTTGTTCAAGTCCAGTGCTTCATCGTATTTGCGTTTTAATTCGTTTGTAGGGCCTAATTCCTGAGCATCTTTATAATATATTATTGCTTGATCTAAGTTACCACGTTTTTTCGCTAGATCACCTAAATAATTGTACACGTTTGCTTTCTCCTGAGGCGTACCGTCTGGTTCCAACAGAGCATTTTGCCAAGCTTCATTTGCTTCCGATAGATTCCTGTTTTGGCAATGAATCAAACCGATTTGCGCGTAAATTTCAAATCTAGTTGGTAGTTTGAGAGAGATTACTTTTTCTTGTATAGTCTGATGTGTTGGAAAATAAGCGAGGGCCTTCTCGAAGTAATCCAATGCTCCATTTTCGTCTCCCTTTTTTTGTCGCAACCTACCTATACGATAGTTCAGAAGACTTTCTTGTTCTTTTGTGATATTTGATTTGTCTCGAAGCATTCGGCTATAGAACTTTTCTGCTTTGTCGTACTCTTCCAATTCTTCTAGTGATTTCCCTACCGATAACAATGTGTATCCATCCGTAAGTTGATCGAGATGTCTATCAAGTTCACGGTCAAGATCCTCACTGCAACTATGAAGCGAAACGTGCCATCGACCTTGTTCCATTTTAATATCTGTTATCTTCCAGACTGTTCCGGCAGAAAAGAGAACCTCTTGTTCATCCATTTCCTCATTGTTGGTTGAAATATCTGCAAACGGTTTTCCTGTGTAACTTTTAATATCGTCAATGTGAATTTCAAAAACAACGCTTTCGTGCTTATCACGTGGCACATCATCACCCGAGAAAAATATAGCGGCGTTTTTGTTCAATGATGTTGATAGAAAACCATTCATGGAGATGCGTTTGTTAACATTGTCTTTCAACTGTTGTATAACAACATGCCGCAGCTTTTTCCCTCGATAAACAGTGAGCGTGTTCTCACCTTTTTGCTTTTTATCCGAGAATATTTCTTTGAGCTTTTTGTGAAGATCACTGATGAACAATCGCCAGGTGTAAATTTGTTCGATATCTTCAGTTCGGAAAGCCATGTTGACCATACGAAAGCAGAATCCATCTTTGGTATAGAACGTGTGAACATCTTTGCTATTATAGCTGCGTTCAAATTCTGCAATCTTTACCAGTTCTACAACATTGTCCGCATAAAATATTCGGCTAGTGCATAACATATCGTCTTTCGCACGAGTCACATCATGCTCAAGACAAAATAAGATCTCAATTAACGCTTGAAACTGTATAAATCTGCGTGATTCATTAGATAAACAGCGAATAGATGTTTGTTTTAATGGATGATTTGCAACACCAAAAGGTGGAATTGATTGATCTGACATCTCGGGAATAATTTCAGTCTGAGATGTTGAAGCGGATGACGAATCAACTTGAAGGTCCTTCTGGATTTGGAGACATAGAGTGTCAATTTGTAATGATATTTCTCGTTTTGAACCGGCCTGATTAATAGGAAGAGAATATGTTGCTCGAATTTTTTCTGATTTATTGTTAATCTGTTGCGCTAAGAGCTCTTGTAAAGGACTCGTCATGAATTCTGAAGAAATAATAACAACAACGCTAGCAATAAGTTGATCTTCTCTCAAGTAGGTGGCAATATCGCGGAGAGTATCGAATTCTCGAACATAGTCAAATGTTGAATTCAGATGTTTAAGCACAAGTTGATTTATGTCCAATGAAGGAGTAAATGGATCATGAACCCATATACCGATATAATTCCGATTTGGATGAACATTTTGTGCTCGATGCATGGACATCAGGCAGATCTATGCCGTTGTATTGTAATCTAAAAAAAAGTTCAATTGAGATCCAGAAAGGTTTTTCGAGTTTTATATCGATAATTGAAATTTATTCAGCACAAATTCGATATTTACAACGAAATATAATTAAATGGTAGATGGGTTTAATAAATGTTTCAAAATNCGAAGGCGAAAGGAATAACAGAGACAGCATGGCAACGGCTAGCCGTGAGTGACCGACCGGAGGAAGGTCGAAGAACGACTAGGCGTTTAAATGCTAGATTAATCCTAAAGTGTACGCTTAGAATAACCTTGCCAGGCTTGAGATAATTTTGAAAAGGATTTGACGAATGGATATTCCTCAATGAAAATATTCGACAAGGTATCATTTTGTTGACAGGAGCGAAAAGAATCGGATTATCGCTGGAAGACACAGGCGAATGTTCAAACTTTTCAAGTAGTGTACTGTATATCGTCCGTCTGTGAGTGACTTAGTGAAGCATTTATGAAATTTTCCATGCGCGTGATATGAAAATAGAAAAACAGATGACAAAGGTCAATGGTTGGCCGTGGGTGGCCGTCTGACTAGTCGTCGATTTGCAGGATCATATTTTCAAGAACAAATTGTGTGATTTTTGTAGAGCTTTAAGATTTTTTATCAGAAATTAATCGTTGCTCTGCACGAGCATAGCTGGCAGCTATTTAAGGTTCCTCGTGGTGGAGAGAAGATTGAAACCTTTTTCAGAGAGTCATATAGCTATGTAAATTTTCTAAGTTTTTGATTATAAAATGATTTTCCTAAATGAGCTCATTTTCGGAACGCGCCTTCGTCTGAATGAAGTTAAAATAGTAAAATGAGTACGCATGAGAACAGCTAGCCGTGAGTGGTCGACCGGAGAGGGGCCGACAAACGACTAGGCGTTATAATTTCAGAAGATTTCAGGAAGTGAAATTGGTCTACGTAAAACATTCTGACGAATTATCAAATGATCAGATCGTTCAACTGAAATAACTTTTTTCTCTCTTTGGACGAATAGTAGCGCTCTAATACTATCCTTTCAGTAGAGGATTTAGCGGCTACTAGGCCGCGTTACTTGTGTTGAATAGATTTCAATCGAATAGAGTCAGTTTATTTATCAACTGGAGGATGTGGAGATAGTGCACTTGCAACAAATTCTTCTAGATCCCAGTGAACAATACCAGGGCAATTGTTTGGATCAAAATGAGTGTGAGCATATAATTGAGGATTTGTAAATGTATTGATCTGCTCAAAACCACCAGTTGATGGAGGAACATCTCCTACACCAGGAACTTTTCAAATATAAAAAAGAAAGCTTTTTTAAATAAATTCCTAAATTCAACTATATACCTGAATCATGTCCACCAGTAAATCCACCGAAAACAACGTCATTTGAGCTCATATCGTTTCTATGAAGATTTTTGTTATATAAAAGAAGGTCAAACAAATGAATCTATACAAGTTTATAACGATTACTGATATGAATAGGATTTTTTTAATCTTGTCATGCTTCTTTTAACAGTATATCAAAAGAAACGATATCCTTCGGTAAAGAAATAATACATTGAAATTGATCGTGTCCTTTTTTCAATAAATCTATTCTTTTAAGCTCTTCAAACCGACACTCGCTTAATAATATTGATGATTCCTACTCAGTCACGCATCCATTTCATTCTTTCTTACGTAATTTATATTTTTTAACCTTATTTCAATTGATTATGGTAGTGATTTATTTCACATTAGTCATCTATTTTATGTTAAGCGAAATGAGATCGTTGATCCATTTAAAGCGTCGGTATTTTCATCAATTTTGGATTTCCATTCAATAGGTAATTACTACTGGTTCGTTCATTGGCATGGGTCTCTACATATGGCGATATCGAGAAATTTCTCGCATTAGCAATCTCTTTGCAACAATTAAATGTCTTTATTTCTGTCGGCTCGATCGGCAACGTTGATTGTTTGATGATACAATTCGCTATGCATATAAGGATCTGTTAACATTTGTGCTCATGCTCGATACGACGTTTTTGGCTACGTTATTTTGTTTTATTTGTTGTTCGTTTCGAAAATATGGACATGTTCGAGTTTGCTGTATACGACTCAAATGTTGTTCGAAGTCATTTTGATGAAATTTATGTGGAAAAAGTTCCTCCAGTGGACAGGTTTTGCTTTCTTTTCGAAATTGTGTTTTGTTTTCAAAGATCGAGAACCGAATGTGCAAGCTCAACCGGTGTATACCACGGCAATGGACGCTTTTCCAAAGAAGATATATGAACTTGTCAACACACTTGAACGAGTATGATATTTTATTCGATGACCAAGAATTACATCTCTTCTTGTTCTAGGTCTTTCATATCTAATGCCTTCGTTCAGTTGAACTCGGACTCTATAAAAAAAATAATCAATTGTCTGCTAAATCTGAGTAGATTAAAAAAAACATTCTAATGAGATGCGGCCTCTGTTCAAGTCCGTCGACGCTTCTGCGATTCTGCTGATCGGATTCTGTTGTTCAAGTCCAGTGCTTCATTGTATTTGCGTTTTAAGTCGTTTGTAGGACCTAATTCCTGAGCATCTTTATAATGCATTATTGCTTGATCTAAGTTACCACGTTCTTTCGCTAGATCACCTAAAGAGTTGTACACGTTTGCTTTCCCCTGAGGCGTACCGTCTGGTTCCAACAGAGCTTTTTGCCAAGCTTCATTTGCTTCCGATAGATTCCTGTTTTCGTAATGAATCAAACCGATTTGCGCGTAAATTTCAAATCTAGTTGGAAGTTTGGTAGAAATTACTTTTCCTTGTATAGTCTGATGTGTTGGAAAGTAAGCGAGGGCCTTCTCGAAGTAATCCAATGCTCCATTTTCGTCTCCCTTTTTTTGTCGCAACCTGCCTATACGATAGTTCAGAAGACCTTCTTGCTCTTTTGTGATATTTGATTTGTCTCGAAGCATTCGGCTATAGAACTTTTCTGCTTTGTCGTACTCTTCCAATTCTTCTAGTGATTTTCCTACCGATAACAATGTGTATCCATCCGTAAGTTGATCGAGATGTCTATCAAGTTCACTGTCAAGATCCTCACTGCAACTATGAAGCGAAACATGCCATCGACCTTGTTCTATTTTAATATCTGTTATCTTCCAGACTGTTCCGGCAGAAAAGAGAACCTCTTGTTCATCCATTTCCTCATTGTTGGTTGAAATATCTGCGAACGGTTTCCCTGTATAACTTTTGATATCGTCAATGTGAATTTCAAAAACAACGCTTTCGTGGTTATCACGTGGTACATCATCACCCGAGAAAAATATAGCGGCGTTTTTGTTCAATGATGTTGATAGGAAACCATTCATGGAGATGCGCTTGTTAACATTGTCTTTCAACTGTTGTATAACAACATGCCGCAGCTTTTTCCCTCGATACACAGTGAGCTTGTTCTCACCTTTTTGCTTTGTATCCGAGAATATTTCTTTGAGCTTTTTGTGAAGATCACTGATGAACAATCGCCAGGTGTAAATTTGTTCGATATCTTCAGATCGGAAAGCCATGTTGACCATACGAAAACAGAATCCATCTTTGGTATAGAACGTGTGAACATCTTTGCTATTATAGCTGCGTTCAAATTCTGCAATCTTTACCAATTCTACAACGTCGTCCGCATAACATAGTCGGCTAGTGGATAACATATCGTCTTTAGCACGAGTCATATCATGCTCAAGACGAAATAAGATCTCAATTAACGCTTGAAACTGTATAAATCTGCGTGATTCATTAGACAAACAGCGAATAGATGTTTGTTTTAATGGATGATTTGCAACACCAAAAGGTGGAATTGATTGATCTGACACCTCGGGAATAGTTTCAGTCTGAGATGTTGAAGCGGATGACGAATCAACTTGAAGGTCCTTCTGGATTTGGAAACATAGAGTGTCAATTTGTAATGATATTTCTTGTTTTGAAGCGACCTGATTAATAGGAAGAGAATATGTTGCTCGAATTTTTTCTGATTTATTGTTAATCTGTTGTGCTAAGAGCTCTCGTAAAGGACTTGTCATGAATTCTGAAGAAATAATAACAACAACGCTAGCAATAAGTTGATCTCCCCTCAAGTAGGTAGCAACATCGCGGAGAGTATCGAATTCTCGAACATAGTCAAATGTTGAATTCAGACGTTTGAGCACAAGTTGATTTATATCCAATGAAGGAGTAAATGGATCATGAACCCATATACCGATATAATTTCGATTTGGATGAACATTTTGTGCTCGATGCATGGACATCAGGTAGATCTATGCCGTTGTATTCTAATCTAAAAATAAGTTCAATTGACATCCAGAAAGGTTTTCCGAGTTTTATATCGATAATTGAAATTTATTCAGCACAAATTCGATATTTACAACGAAATATAATTAAATGGTAGATGGGTTTAATAAATGTTTCAAAATATCAATTCTTTTCTGAAAATGACGACGATATCGTTGATCCACGGTTAGTACGAGACCCGTTTCGTACAATTGAAGTGCTTCTTTTTGATTATTTTGTGCATAGTGCATGTCGGCTATACTTCCTAAAACGATACTTTTGTCTACCACAGAGTTCTCAATTGATTCTTGCATTTCTTCACTCCAAGGTTCGTGTGCTTTGGCAATCTCTATCATTGGCTTACCGCATGCCAGAGCCTGTCGTAGTTGATTCACTGCGTCACGATGTTCACGAGCACATTTAAGCAGAATACCGTAATAATAATGAATGGCGTATCGATGTCGATGATCCGACTTAAGAATATCCAACCAGAATTCATAATAATTGTTCGCTTCTTTGTGCCAACTTAAAGCGCTGAGAAAATGACCGAATATCAATGGATTTAACTGATGGCCAACTTCATATTGTAGCTGCTCTTTAATTATTTGTAAATCTTTATCGATTGTGTGTATTAGCCTGACATACCAAACCCCATCTAATGCTTGATTAATAGAACGGATGCGAAACGTACATCCCACTGGAAATAAAAACGAGTTGTTGTCATATGAATAAAATAATTTAGTAGTTTGCGTAATTTGGATTTCAAATAGCACAGCACTCGAGCCGCTCTTCGCAATTCTTCTGGCCAAACGTCGAACTGCCGCTAGATCGCTGATTACTAGTATGTAGGAATCGGTATTTATTAGGTTATCACAGTTTTGACGAAGTGTCTGAAGATCTTCAGCGGATATGATATCAGCATGATAGACAGTTTGAGGAGAGATCGTTTCTTCGTTGTACCGGTTGGGTATACGTTTGTGTAACTCTAGTAGATTGGGTAGTAAGTGTGCAATCTGTTGTCCATGAATCACGCGTAAGCAATACTGAATATCCTCCAATGACTTTATTTTGCTATGCGTGAAGCTATCTGTTAATTCAGATATCTCGGGCAGGATGATAGACAAGAGATAATTTTTGAGAAATCGAGCCATTTGTTCATTTAGCTGTGGTAAAATCAATTGACTCATATCGATAGACGGAAAAGTAGCAAAAGAAATACCACTCGTCTTTGCTTTTCGATAAAACGATATATCGTTTAATAAACGTGAATAGAGTATGGTGGCATCAGTGAATGTACCATGTGTACGGGGATGTTGTGATTGTGATGGAAACCTTGTACGCGACTCTGACCAAATATACAGTGCTTGAAGTTTATTCATCGATGGAATACATTCATCCGACGTAATCAAGAAAACCGGCCGATTTTCTTCTTGAACAAACTTCTCATATTGATCGACATTATGGAAATCCTTCAGAAGAAACATATTTTGAATTTCTTTGGGCAATACTAAATTATTGCATTTCAATGTAGCAAGTGTGACTTGTTCGAAATCTTTGTTATAATCATCATCGAATATGGAGTATTTATGTGCATTTTCATTGGGTCTCTGACTGCATATTTTGTGAAAGAGAGTTGCCCACGAAGTTGGACGGTACGAGAGATCTGGTGAACCCAAACAGATGTCTATATGTACTTGTTCGTCCAAATCTAGAATGGAATTCCAAATTCGTCGAACTTTAGAAAAACTTTTGGTCCACGATGGTTGAGTGTCGTTGTTAACGGTATAAATATAAATATGTTCGAGGAATGGATGATCATGAATTAACGGGACGATGTACTTTGCAATGAGTAGCGGGACAATGAAATAAATGTGTTTGCTCATAATTGATAATAACTCAGAAATACATTTCAAATCATCATCGAATGAGATAACATTGAACTGTGTAGAAATACATGGCAATGGAGCTTGTTTTGTACTGATATATGCGATGAGTACATATTCACGATGGTTGTGCGAACTTTTTATGATCATTCCATCTGTTGCATCATCTACAAATCGAATTGTTGTTTGGTAACATTTGAAAAAAGTCTCTACTATATACCTTGCTTCTCGCCCACTAATCCATCACTTGTACAAGAGTATCGACTGGATTCGTGTCCCATATGATAATCATACATAGTATTGCTCATAGGATGACTATGCTATAATAGAAAGAATTAAGTAAGTAGATATCTCTTGAGATTCGTTTTCAGTGACTATAGTGTGCAAGCTATGGATAAATGATAATAGAATTCCTCATCAAAAAACTATATACAGTGAAAAGAATCAACATGCAAGTGAATTTGCAGAAGTACCATATGTTATTGAACAAACCTGGGATTTCAATATTTTGTTGGCTGAACCACTTGAACAACTTCTGCGAAACGATTTACTATAGTAAGATTTACTCCCTTCACTGTGAGATAATTCAGATTGTTTGTATTGGCTGTGTGAGCGTTTCATCGAGTGACGTAGGAATCTTTCGCCATTCGATGAAACTCTTTCACGTGAATCTATGCCCGACAGAGCAGCGGAACGGCGTGGTATTAAGTGCCTTTGATAACAACGTGACCAAGCTATTTGACCAGTTTTGCCTACGTGAGTGGGGGTGCCGACGGGCGAGTCATCTTCAATTTCCATATCCAAGTCAGCCGATCGTTCATGTAAAATATCTATAACGTTGTTAGTTTTTCGTGGTTGAGAAAATGACTGATTTGGAATCACGAACTTCGAAAGTTGATCGTAATATGAATGATCGTCTACCTCTCCCTTCTTATCTACATATGGAGAAGAAAGTGATCTTCTAATAGTATCTTTACTACTCTGACTGGATATCTTTGACGATGAGGTACATTGATCCTATGACAAAGATAAAAAATAAAGAATATAGTTATCATCATTGAAAAGTAATATAAGTGACATTTTATGACGAAGTTTCTCTATTAGTTGAGACGCTCAATGCAGAACGTAATTGAGAGTTAACCTACCGCGTCAGTCGTACAATTTGCTGATGAATATGATCTTTTTATGTTACCAATCATGATTAATCTAAATAGTCCTTATGATACATTGCTGTAAAGAATGGTATGTTGTAAACACCTTTTAAAGAAAGATTTTTTCTGTTCTATGCTACAGTAAATCGCATTGTACACAAAATTATCTTTCAAGCTTAAAGAAAATATTCAACAACTTTCTGAAGCATTATCTTACGTGAAGACAAAACTTCTTTCTTATCTTTCTACATGACAAAATACTTCACGTAAAATATAACTTGTTGCAACGGAGAAAATGGAAAAAAGTTTCGTTTCTATGTGAATGTTAGTCATATGTGAATTGTAAAACTAATGCAACTGTTGCCACTTGTTTGGCTATTGTAACGGAATATAGAAATGGAAATGAATGTTATTTCATTTCAGCTGCAGCATATTTCTTCTTTATTTTATTATTTGTGATCACAAAGACAGATTGGAGGAATAGCACTATCGCTATTCTTCAATGTAGAAGATATTAACTA